GTACGTGCGTTTGCACCGTTTAACCAATTGGTTCGATCAGTCGTGTAACAGGAACAACTACCGTGCTGATGTCGCACAACTTTCTGTCTGCCTGTAATTTATCTGATTACCTTCTCAGGTCACCGGGTCACGGATTGATGAGCTCGTACACAAACACACACTGCATGTTTGACACTTTCCAGTCAAGATTAACTTTCTGTACCCCCGGAGGGAATGGAAAAACGCACTCCAGTATGAAGCAAGAATAATCCGGTGCATCATTCAATCTTTAAAACTAGACGAAGTCTGTACGCGACTGACCAAATAGCGAGCACTTGATAGTCTGTTGTGACAGGATTGGGTCGTCAGATTAGTCTAATTCATCGTATACCGGAAGGTGAATATCTTTGCCTTCTTGTTCGGTTCACAAACCACAGCCCGGATAATTCACCAATGGTCCGGAGGAGAATTGCTAAGGCAGGGAACTTGATTGTTCGGATGCGGTTAACGTTGGCCTTGTTTTTCTGTGACAAATGCATATTTGTCTCTCTCCGGGTCTGCACCAAATAGTAGCGATTTGGTGGGTTGGCATCGTTTTTTTTTTCAAAAATACCTGTACGTTTGAAAACATGACTAAATCCATCAGGACCATATGATTCGCCAGGTTCGGTCACAAGTGCGGAATTTCGAAGCCTAATCTCGGCAAACGTCAATCTCTTTACCGTTGGGAAAGAAATTTTGTAGGAGCATTCATTTCACCTAGCATAGACTAAAAATTCTCAACAACCCATCCCATTGAGTTGAGTCCACTTGCCCAAAGATGCGTACAGTATTAGCTGATGGATATACGAAATGCGTAGGGGGGGATGAGGTCATGTGAACGGGGGTTGTGAGGGATTCGGCATTTTTGAGAAATAGGAAAGAGGAGGAAGTGGCAACAACAATACAATCGGAAATGTTGGGGGCAGTCACAGTAGGAATGAATTATTCATTTTCAGATCACAATCGAAATCCGAACGAGATAATGTGTGTTTTCGGGTTTTAGATTCAGTCGGTTCACGGAATGTTTGGAATCTGCTCCCTTCTCTTTCTCTCTCTCCCTCAGTTGTGCTGTTTTTCCCATTCAGTTTACTTTATTCTGTATTTCTTCATCACATTCAGATTTCGACCATCCCTCCCTCACTCACTTGCATCTGATTCGGATGCTAATTAAAGGTTTGCCAATGAATTGTTAGCCCCGAACGATCGATTGCAAACACGTGATAACTTTTCTGAAAAGTGACTGGTATTTTAAATCTCATTCTTTCTGATCACGGAAGTCTATTGCTGTTCGTTCAAATACGAGTGAAGAACATATAATGTATATGTAGTATATGTATGACTGGCTCGAATTTCTCCGAAAGTATACGACCGGTTTCACAATCCTTGCCGCACGTCCGGGAATACGAACCCGGTAATGTTTTTCCTGATCATTTGTATATCACGTCTGGAGCATAACAATGACCAGACCAGAAGCCTCCCAGATATGCATACCTGACAAATAATAAAACCAAGTAATCGGTCGTGTGCTTCTTGAGGAATGTTTTCAGTTATTTGATCTATTACTGATGAGGCGTTTAGTTGGCTCAGGTTGGCCTCATCTAACGCTGAACACAAAATGATCGCCTGCTTTTTATCTAGGGTTATTGTTTGTCTCCAAATCAACTCGCACAGCAGCAAATCCGATTTGCGTTGCTCGAGCGTGGAGAATGTTGTACTTCGCCCAACTTGGTTGTCGCTTAAACAGTTTTGTCGATTGGTTTTTGGCGGAAATGAGGCTGAACCTTCGCACCTATGAGACGCAACTTGTGCAATCTGACCCAGTAACCGGAAGTCGAGCAAACGCCAGAGTGCGTGCACACACACAAACACAAATGGTATATTTCAAAGCTCCCCGTGCACTTTTGAACCGTTTTAGCGGCAAGAAACGGAGAGAGAGAGAAAAAGAACCGTGAGGGAAAGTATAAACCAAATCGATGATACTGTTTTCTGTTGTCTGTATTCGATTATTTTTTTCGACCTGTGATCTATATACAGTCTAATCCGTGCGCGAGGAGAACAGTATTGCAGGCTGTGTTACGGACCCAGGAAAACGAGAACGTTGCGAAAGCGCTCTCACGCTGGAGCATCACATGTGGAAATGTAACCATACTACTGGACGGTAATAGAACAGACTTGTCCTCGACATTTCTGGCTACATGTTTTTCCCCG